ATATATATACACACACACTATATATATATATATATATATATATATATATATATATATATATATATATATATGTGTGTGTGTGTGTGTTAAGTCAGAATGATAGTATGAAATGGACTCGCCGCTTATGAGGCAGATACATACATCCATGTCGATGTCTTATACATTAGTGCGCGATAGGGGTTGCTTGCATTTGACAAAAGTTCAGATATGCTCTCGACCATTCGACGTATAGGCAGGTAACGTAAACACGCACGCCTATGGATATACTATACATCATACGAGCATACGCACAGGTACACCGGACACGTACAGTCTTATTCAGTCTACATTTATACACACCACACCAGCAAATATGATCGTCCCGTACATTGGCTTATGTTTCAACATGCACATATTGTTCAGCGTTCAGCATACATTGTCCGTCAGTGGCACAGACAGGCCTATGTACACATCAGACACTTATACTTGAAAGCATGTTGCGACGATACATACCGCACCGGCAAACGTGGTTGGCTCGCACTTTGCTTTGTGTTCTAGCATGCATATGTTGCTAAACGTTTGCCCATTGGACGCACAGACAGGCTTGAGTACTCGGTCGCACGCGTGCTCGTCACAGAACGCTTTCAGGTCAGTGTCGGATATATCGTTTTCTGCACTCTGAGCGGAAACCTGAGTGAGCCAAAATTGGAAGCGGTAATAGTGTGTCCGAGTAAATAACAAGTGACAAGACGTTAAATACTAGTACAGTGAAACCCGAACGCGCCAGAATAGGCAGCGATAGTAGTGTGACCATGTGACAAGGCGTATTCTCATGTCGCAACATACATATATATGTAACGCACACAGGCCGTTGGAAACCAGAATGCGTGCATCGATTCACCTTCAATTTAAGCTTACAACACTACTCCAATCCACCTATACACACACACTATCCGAATAGAAATATACCCAACAGAAAAACATGTATCCCGTCTATTAGCGCGTTGACAAAAAATGATCCACATTCTCTCGTCTCAATGAACACATATACCTCCGCAGTAGCAGGCGCTGCAGCCCCGCACACACCATTCGAAACGGGCTCGAGCGTAGCATCAGTACACCTTGCCAGCTCAAGCTCGCACAGGTTTGTGTATGTATCCCCGTCACTCCCACACACGGGCATATATATGTGGTGGCACTTCTGTGAGATGCACAGAGACTCGACCATTTCCTTGTCCGTACAACGGCCGTTGTGTGCTAACGAGAGACCTCGGTCTGATCGGTTCGAGCCACACAGGTACGGGTTACATGATTCGCAATCAGTTTGTTGTAGGTATGGATCTCGAGTGGAATGAAAAGCCGTGATTGGGTGGATACAGGTGTACAGCGACGCAGTACGCATTGTGGTCGCTTGTGGTGGTGGTATGCATCCCACACACTAGTTGATCGGATACCTAATAAATACACTTCAGGTAAACGTCTGGTCGATACAGATATACACAGGTTTGTGCTACATAGCTCACTGTTTGTTTGTACTGCACATGTCTAGGGTGAGGACGGCATCGTCGCGATAGTACAGAGAAGTACAAGTAGCTACAATGGTGTGAACGGGATGCGATGTGCATTCCCGTGCCCATAGAGCGCTTCAGCCTGATAGACACACATACGCCCAAGTCTAAGTTTCAACCCCAGCGATTGTTGCGATCTGGTTTACAAACAAACTGCTGGCGTGAAAATAAACCCTAGTTGGAAGGCATAGTCTAGTAGTGAAGTGCCGTTCACTTCACTAGGTGAACATAGTATGATTGAGACGTGTAGGGGCCGTTCAATTCAGGCTGATACTGTCTGTATGAACGTGTGGTGTATTGTCGTGTGGACCAAATATATTGAAACAACGACAATTAACCTTTCAGTGTCGAAAATAGAATGCAGTTCATATAAGAAATGGTACGCCGGGATTAATACAACTTACTTGGCTCTTTGCAGATGAATCCGGTCAAGCAGCATTGATTCGCCATTGTCTGGTAAACGCCTATTTTGTCGACCGAGCATACTGGTACCAACTCATCACTGCATGTTAATGCTGTGTCACACTTGTCCGCTAATAAATGGTACAGTGGCTACGAGGTCAGCTTTGTGGGTTATATTTTCAATGCCTATAGTATTGTTAATGACATCAGGCTATTCTAGGGACTCTGACATTCAAATATATATATATATATATATAGATAGATAATAATATATATACATATATATATATATATAA